CATCTCTCTCTCTCTCTCTCTCTCTCTCTCTCTCTCTCTCTCTCTCTCTCTCTCTCTCTTGCTCTCTCTCTCTCTTGCTCTCTCTCTCTCTTGCTCTCTCTCTCTCTCTCTCTCTCTCTCTCTCTCTCTCTCTCTCTCTCTCTCTCTCTCTCTCTCTCTCTCCCTCTCCCTCTCCCTCTCCCTCTCCCTCTCTCCCTCTCTCCCTCTCTCTATCTTCTTTTCTTTTTTATTTGCTTCACTAACACTGGTGTTGCTGCCTCTCCTCAGGTATCGCAAGACAACCAGAAGAGAGGCCCCTGACCTCTCCAACTTCATAACAAATTATCCCAAATCAAGTCTGTCTTCTTCACTAATATCCTCGCCGGCCTCTTTCCTCCAGTCCAATAATAATTCGCAATCAACAAATACGTATTCCATATCCCATTTTTCCCCATCTTCCTCCTCCTCGTCTTATTTATCCTCCTCTTCCATTTCCTCTTCCTCTTCTTCCTCTTCCTATTTCTTGTGTAATGAGAAATGGAGACCAACGAGCTTCCCGTTCTTCCTCATCTTTACAACAGTGCTTCTTATTTACTAACAATGATTTACAAGGTAATTGGCTGCCTCCCTACTAATCTCCTATGTCTATATCTTCATCTGAAATAATTTTCAAAGAAAAGAATGGGTGAGTGTGTGATTAATCTTTGCATTTACATACAGAGTACATGTAGTCACACTGGTACTCACTCTCTCATTCTTTCATTCTTTCATTCTTTCATTCTTTCATTCTTTCATTCTTTCTTTCATTCTCTCTCTCTCTCTCTCTCTCTCTCTCTCTCTCTCTCTCTCTCTCTCTCTCTCTCTCTCTCTCTCTCCCTCCCTCTCTCTCTTTCTCTCATTTAGTAACATTTAGTAACAGGCAAATAGTAGTAGAGAGAGGCTATGTGTATATGTAGGACATGAGATTCAAACACTTTAATGCAGATATAAAGAACCCTTCAGAAATTTGGCTTGCTTTATTTTCGCATAAAATGTATAATATTTTTCATGCGTTTGCTAGCTCCGCTTTTTTGTAATATGTTATTTATCCTAAATACTCATTTTTCATAAACATTTTTGAATACTTTTTGTATGGATAGTCTCATCAGCTAAGTTCATAGTGATATCAGTAGTGTGATAGACTCATGTGAAACCTTTGTATCAGTGCATTTCTTTGCTTGCAGACCCCGCGGAAGCAGAATCCGTGGAGGAAGAGGAAAGGGAAGGGGACGCCAAAGGGGGTAGTATGCAGAGCTAAGGAGAAGAAAAGAAATTACATTTTGTTGCCAGTGTGAGGACTAGTCTTCCAACCAACCAGCCAACAATCAATGGGGGAAACAAAAAAAAAAGGATGCAAGGCATTGAGACCTAAACCTGCCACTCCTCCCTTCCATCATCACCCGACCTCATCACGTGTCAAGGCGCCAACACTACCCACCCTTTGCATAACTCAATGTTTTTTGTGTGTGTGCATATTAGCAACCACAGCCTTGTAAGAAATTAAAATGAAAAAATTAGAGAGAAAAAAAAATAATAATGAAAAATAAATCTCACTCATAAAAAAAAAATATATAGATATTTGTCCCTCCAGTTAAACAGGCAAATAGTAGTATTGGGTGATTCATAGAAAAATAGGTTCCTAAAGGGATAATTGTGCCTTGTTGCAGTGAGCGTGCCCATTAGGCTAAAAGGTGCATGCTCCCCCTGCCGCCTCCTATTGCCAATAGTCCTACAATGATATATGTATCTTCTAAATATCCTAGTCCATGAAATTCCAGTGTTATCAAAGAAGGTTGTCCCAGCCATTAGCTGCAAGACAGCTGATACAAACTGCCACAATTTTTTTTGCTCTCTTTTATTTTTTTCCCTTTTTATTTTTATTTTTTGTCCAACCAATCCAGGGTGTTCGACATTTCTATCTCAAATAGCTTTTGTAAGCACTAAAACATTATTTTTATTATAATCAACTTATAACAGCAATATTATGCACTTCATGCAATATTTGTGCCAAAAGGACACATTGTTTCTCTAAATGTAAGTTTGTGATTGTTGAGACCCTCTAATGGGAAAATTGTTGTACTTGAAGCAATAGTTTTAAAAAGTAAAAAATAAACAAAACAAAACAAAAAAACAAAGTCTGTGACATTTATTGTGATGTGAGAGCTTCTATGTGTGTCTCCCCAGATGCTTGGTGGTGTTGTATGTGACATCTTGTAACATGTTGTTGTTTTTAGTGTTATATCTAACCTTATTCACAATGGTGGTGAGCTCTCAAAAGGTGTATGTGCTCCCCAAATACAACGCTTGTCTTTACTCATGATATAGGTGAGCCTCATAAACAGATTGATATACTCTTGTTGAATATGATTATTATTTTTCTTTGGTGTGTGTGAAGTTACGACCTTTGGTAATATTTTTGCTAAGAAAGGAAAATGTGAAGAAAACAATATTGCCTTGTGATTGCATGAAGACCAATTTGCAGCTTTATTTCCTTTTTTTAATATTTTCTTTTCTTTTTTTTCATTTATCATCCTTATTATTATTGTGTTTCAATTGTTGATTTCATTTTCTTCAGCTGACAATGGTGCTACCAGGATGAACGTTTACTTCTTACTTAAGATGTAAAATAGTTGTGTAACTTAAGTTTATTATGTTAATTAACTTTTGCTATCAACACTGCCATTATGTTCAGACTTTAATTTGGGTTTGTTTCTAGTAAGGAAATCAAACTAACTATATTTTTAAGTTAATCATAGCCTGATAACTGCCATGCCCACATCTTGAGTCCAATGTTAAATAGTCACAACCTTTTAATGAGTCAGTGTTTTATGGTTAAGACCCATATCATGAGTTTGATAACTGTATAGTGTGTTTTTGTGTTGTGCGTGATCAATGAAATAAGCTTTAGATTGGGCTTCTTTGAGAATTTATAGAATCATCATTTCTCCTGTATACAACTCGCCTTCAAGAAGCACTGTTGGGCATACGGTGTAAGATCCATGACCTTAGGGATCATGGATCAGTTGATATTATACCATCACGTGCTTCATGCCCTGTATTTGCCAAGGTCTTAGGTGTTGAGATGTCCATACTGTCATTTTTAAAAGATTATGCACATGGAAGTCGCACAGCTGTCTGTACTCTTTCATGGTAAATGTAATTTAAACAGTGCCCAGTTGTTTTGTAATATGATTAGCAGTCCTACAGTTTGGCCATGATTTTCATTTAAGTTCTTTGCAAGTAATCATAGGGGTCCTGAGAATCTGTGAACAAGGTTTCTGTTGTAAGATCAAGCAACATGGCATATTATTAAGGCATTTTTTTCTGAATTGACTAATTGTTTCTTAAGTTTTAGATTTTCAACTTACTTGCAGTACAGTCTTGTGGGTACTCTGAACAAAAAAGAAAGGAATTTAGATCTAACTAGGGCAAAAAGCATCACATTAAAATCTTTTATCTTTCTCCTGTCTCCTTTGCCTCTAAATAAGTCCGGTACATTACTAAGATCAAGTTTGAAATTGGAACATGATTTTTTATTACCATCTATGTCCTTGCTTACAGTACAACAGTATCATTGTAGACTGCATTTTTCTTGTTTTTGTTGCAGTATTTCACACCCAAATGTATATAATCACCCAGTGGGAAGCTAAAACATTATTTTGTGCAGACCATATCCAAGATTACCCAATATGCCCTTTGTTCACTTCCCGTGGCTTGGAGCTTCCAGGCCTTGTCTCTAAGCAGCCTCTTGACTGCTAAATGACTACCTACCTCTGTTTATCTTGATGATAGTCACTTGATTAGCGAGGTTCATGCGGTTTATGAGGACAAAACCATCGCTTCAGACTCAAACAAAAGTGAACATGCTGGATCAAGATTCTCTACACAACTGCTTCTGCTTTGCATAGTGGCTGGTATTCTCTGCTGACCAGACTAGATGGTGTTCAGAGCAAATACATCACAGCCACTGCTGCTGCTTCAGTTGATGCCCTTTAGATGTAGTCAGCCCAATTCTCAGATATTGTGTGGGTGTTATGTGGTAATGCAATCCATTAAAAAAAAAGGGAAAAAGAAAATTAATCTCTACTTTTTAGAAGTTGTGTCTGAGAAATAAAGATAGAGTATAATTCATGCATTTTATCATCCATATTTTACCTCATGACAGTATATTGATTAAAAGTAAAAATTTCATTTGAGTGAATAGGCACATCTGGCTCTTCTAAAGAAATCTTTAGTAACAGTTGGAATTTACTTGATACATATATGCAAAGCTAAAATTCTACTTGTTCTATGCTATGACTTATATAAATTTAGTTGAATAAGTAAGTAGAGTGACAGGCTGCCGTTTCAGATATTTGATTTTATTCCTTATCTAAAACAATAGGATCTCTTGCATCCTGTCAGCCTTGACTTGATTAGCTGATTTTTGGGCAGATTTGTGTGTGTGTGTGTGTGTGTGTGTGTGTAAGGGAAGGGATTAAATAAGTTTATATTTTTGCTCTGAAAGCTCTCAGCTGAGCATATTTATAGCCTAGCAGTAGATTATGTATGAGTCCTGAAAGGGTTATTATCACACATCCAACCTGGCTTTTTATTTTTCTGTGTCAGAAAAACAGTAAACACAGAGTCTAATTCAAATTTATCTTGAGCCTCCTTCTCTGCTCAGCATCACAGAAAGGTATATTTATTAAAAATAACCATCTAGTGCCACTTATGCTACTGCATGTTCATTTTAAAGTGAACTATCCAACCTTTTGTTTCATCTCATTCCATATGGAACCTGTTTTCCCAAAACCATCAAGGCCAGAGACTGTAGACTATCTTTTTTCTTTCTTTCTTTGCTTATTATTTTATGCTGTTGTAACTGTTATGTCCTACCAACTTGGAAATGTGGGTAACATATTTACGTGAAAGGGATGGCTTATGTGATGTTTTATGGTAAGTTTTGTACTACTGCAGAAAATCCACTTGGTTGAAATTTCCCCATCAAAGTTATTTGAACATAAATAACTTAAAGGGAAAAACAACAGCTATAGATAAATGATTGAGCAAGTGCAATACACCTTATAAGGCAAAAGGAAAAACCACAAAAAAATTGGTGCAGTTTGTTAACAGCTGATTAGAAATATACAAGAATGACAAATAAAACTGTTTGCAGAAACAAAGGCAATATGACAATATATACAAATTCCTGGATACATATACATATCTGCATATCTTGAACATTAAACATTATTCACAAAGTACCAAACACATGCTACATATTCAGTGAAAACCTTTTCCAAAGTAACTGCATTAAGGGTTTTTCTTGTCACAAAAGATTAATGATTTAAAGAAGCTAAGACAGAGTACAGCACTAATGAATTACATTATGGATATTTAGTAGAGCACAGAGAGTGCCTCACTAGACAAGAGTTACTATTTGTAACTACTAACTCCCTTATTAATACTAGTTTTTATAATTACTTATATATATATATATATTTTTTTTTATAATTACTCTATTACCTGCCCCCTTCTTTTACATAGGTGAATGGCTAACAATTACTTGTGCCATTAGGCCTACTCAGTTAGAATTAAGTCAATGGGACAGGAGTGCTGATTCAAATTATAATGAATATCTCATACAGTCTTAATATTTCCAAATTACAATAATTACAGTAGAATTAATGTACAGTTATACATAGAGAGTAAGGATAATGGCCTCTTATTTAGTTTACATAAGTTCACTATATTATCTGATAAGTCTGCTCAAGTGTTTGATATATCTATTTAAGACAGACACTTTGATTGGAGATCTGTGAGAGTGAATGGCACGGAGGGTCACGAGTGGGACTGACCTCGCCTGGGTCATCCTGCACCATAGGGACCTCACTATTTAGGTGACCTGTGTATATCTGCCTGCAGGGACATGCTGCATTGGTTTGGCCGCCATTTTAAATATGCAGCATGGGTCAAGGCTCCCATTTTGGAAATGATGCCTTGCATACGATTTCTACTGCAATGCAGCTCTTCCCCTACAGTACAGCCTTCAGGGAGGGAGGGAGGGAGAGGGAGAGGGAGAGGGAGAGGGAGAGGGAGAGGGAGAGGGAGGGAGGGAGGGAGGGAGGGAGGGAGGGAGAGAGAGAGAGAGAGAGAGAGAGAGAGAGAGAGAGAGAGAGAGAGAGAGAGAGAGAGAGAGAGAGAGAGAGAGAGAGAGAGGTGAGAGAGAGAGAGAGAGAGAGAGAGAGAGGTGAGAGAAAGAGAGAGAGAGAGAGAGAGAGAGAGAGAGAGAGAGAGAGAGAGAGAGAGAGAGAGAGAGAGAGAGAGAGAGAGAGAGAGAGAGAGAGGAGGGAGAGAGAGAGAGAGGAGGGGGAGAGAGAGAGAGAGAGAGAGAGAGAGAGAGAGAGAGAGAGAGAGAGAGAGAGAGAACTAATCAGAGAGATACAATTCCTAATAACTGAGTATACAAACAGCACGTTCCTACAGCCAATCGCCCTAAAAATCGCTGCAATACTTCCCCACTTAATATGCCAGAAAACACACAGGAAATCAAAAACATCAGACAACGTAAAAGCCATGAGGAGAAGGATGGAAAAATGGAAAACAGGAAACATACACGGACTCCTTAAGGAGGCAGCAG